AATGCTGATAAAATGGTTTGGCAGAACTCTATGTCAGGGAAATTCACGGTTAAATCTACTTAACAATCTATTAGAAGGCGAGGGGAAAATAATGATGTGGCCACTACCATTTGGAAGCTGAATACAACTCCCAGTGCACAGTTGGTAGGATGGAAATTGCTGAAACAAGCCCTTCCATTTGACTCCAGAATGAAGCTGTGTGGGGTGCCTTTGGTTAGTCAATGTTCTATGTGTGGTATGGATGAGGAGTCTGTTGAACATATTTTTGTGAGATGTCCCAATGTGAAATCAATTTGGGGAAGGCTAGTTGCTATAGCTGGGTTCCAGCTTATTGAGAATGAGCTGCCTTTGGTGCGATTGATGAGGCTTTGTAAAATCTTTAAAAAGAACTCTCTTGGTTGTGGTTTGGTGAGAAGCTTGGCATTATTAATCTACTGGCAAATTTGGAAGGAGAGATGCAAGAGGAGGGCAGGTGAAGGGATGGTGAACTCTTATTCAATTTTTCTAAATATTTGTAGCCTTTTGAGATTGCATGCTAGGAGCATTAAGCCCAAGGTGGGAGATGGTATGAAAGGGAGGGACTTTATTCAGTCGCTAGGTGTGGTGAGGTCTTATGCTGTACAACTTAAAGCTGTCTGGGTGGGCTAGGAACGCCCAGTAAATGGGACTCTGAAATTGAATGTTGACGGGGTAGCGAAAGGAAACCCAGGTATGGCTGGTGGAGGTATGATTCTTAGAAATGATAGGGGCAATGTGGTTCTTGCTATTACCTTTTTCTATGGTGTATGTTCTAATATAGCAGGTGAATTTTGTGCTATAATAATGAGATATGGTTTGGCTTCTAACATGATCTGGATTGAATCCGACTCCTTGGTGGTGATCAAAATCATCAAAGGAGAAATGGAAAGTGCCTAGCACCACTGGGGTATATTGGAGCAAATAAAGAAAAATCTTGATGGGTTACAGTTTCAGTTAAATCATGTTTGTAGAGAAGCGAACTTTGCGGTTGACTCATTTGCTAACAGAGCTGTTCAAGATGGATTTTCCTCTGACTTTTCTGATTCTCTGCAGCTAGCTACTGTGAGGACGAAAGTTAGGCAGGACCAAAGTTGCATCCCTTTTCTTAGGACCAAGTCTCTCATGGTTTTTGATGACTGTGGTTAACTTGGGATTGCATTTTACTCTCAGCAAGGGGTGCCTCTCTTGGTTCCAACTTGGGGTTCTAGGCTACAACGTTTTTATTTACTACAATGATGGTTTTAGAGATACTTGATCTTGGTTTTGAGCTGGAGGCCACTGTTTATGTAACTATTCACATAGTTGTTCACGTGAACAAAAGGGCTGTTGTTTCTTTGGTAATTTTGCTGCCGCTCAGCTGGTGTTCAACTGCCTTGTCGGGTTTAGGGTTTAGGGTTTAGGGTTTAGGGTTGAGGGTTTAGGTTTGAGGGTTGAGGGTTTAAGGTTGAGGGTTTAGGGTTTAGGGTTTAGGGTTGAGGGTTTAGGTTTGAGGGTTGAGGGTTTAAGGTTGAGGGTTTGGGGTTGAGGGTTTAGGGTTGAGGGTTTAAGGTNGGTTTAGGGTTTAGGGTTTAGGGTTTAGGGTTTAGGGTTTAGGGTTTAGGGTTTAGGGTTTAGGGTTTAGGGTTTAGGGTTTAGGGTTTAGGGTTTTAGGGTTTTAGGTTTAGGTTTAGGGTTTAGGGTTTAGGGTTTTAGGGTTTTAGGGTTTAGGGTTTAGGGTTTNTTGTAGGCACAAGGTCATGAGTCAAATATTGAAGTGCAGTTGCATTGAATTTGCACTTTCTTTGTCCCCACCCCCACTGGCACCCTCATATAACGGGATTCAGATCCCTTCCAATATCGGTTCTCTCAATTTTTCCAAATGGTAAACCACTCACCATGACTTCACTCACCCCTTATGTACAACTAGGTCTTTTACCAGTATATGGTAACGATTTATCATTAACGGAAATTGAGTAGAAGTATACTAAAGTGGATTATCGCCCTTATTCATGTTATTGTAAAAGAAATGTCCTTAGGCTTTCTAAATATGAACTACTTTATTGCAGATGTCTCAGTTGAATTCCTTCATTCAATAACTGATATATGGAGTATTGGAAGAATGACTAATTACCGCCATAAGGTCATTATCAAGAATACATCTCAGAAGCCACTCAAGAACCTCAAGTTGAAAATTACAAATCTCTCAGGGTCTTTATGGGGTCTCTCCCCAACTAAAGAGAAGAACACATATAAGCTTCCTCAATGGCTAAAAGTGTTAAGCCCTAATTCGGAGTGCAGTTTTGTATATATTCAAGGTGGTCCCCAAGCTAAGGTTTCTGTTCTAAGCTACCATTGACCATTTAAGCAAAGTAGGATTGGAAAACGTTGATGCCCATTTGCATTGATTTATTTGAATTGTTATTCATTTCCACGACTAAATATTGTTGTTTGATTATTGTAAGATGATGTTCATGATCAAATTTGGATGTCAACGTATCTTAGAAAGTTCCACTCTTTTTTTCTTGACAAATCCCCTCAAACAAAGGAGGGAGCTATTCCCCTTTAGTTCTAAGCAAGCATGAACATTTGAAATAAATATTACATTACACCTTGAATGAGTCTCCTCATTCATGAGAAATCACAACATCTTAAACATTGGAAGCTGCTCACACTTCCATTTTTGTTTTAAAAACAAAACAAGACCTTTCAATGACATGTACTCTAAGCTCATCAAGGCAAACTTCTTATACACGTAACCAAAGACGAAACTACATGGAGACCAAGGGGCATGGCCCCGTCATATTTTTAAAATTACTTTACTCCCATTTTGGTTTTAAAGAATTATAATATGTCTTTATAAGTTTCAAAAACTTCTTTTTTGTATAAAAGATATTGGGTAAATTACACTCACCCCCTGACATTTCTAAAATGACACGGTGACCCCTTATCGTCAATAGGTGACCGACGTTAACAGAAGTGATAAAATTATAATTTTAACTCTTTAATTTAACTTTAAAATTAATACATAATAAATTAAATATAATACCAAAAACATTAAATTAATCAGTAAAAAAAAACTATCTCTCTCCTCTCATATCTCACTAATCCCTTACCCCACCCGACGACACCACTACTCTTCCTCTCCTCTCTCTTTGAAAACCTATAACTATTCATCTTTTCTCTCTCTCTCTCTTAGATCCCCCAGATCCCCCAAGTCCCCCGCCCTTTCCCCGCAACACGCCACCACACCTATCCTTTCCAACCTAACTGCCAGCATCGGCACCACCACCACAACTCCCAACCCCCTTCCACCCCCTCCCCACAACAAACCCAAGGTTTGAAGACTCTATTACCCCTATCTTTCTCTAGATTTGTAAAACCCACATGAATAGGTAAGTCACCAACCCTCAAATCAATTTTATGAAATTGAAGCACAAAATTCCACTATCATTAAGGGTGCTGGTGCATAGTTGGGTTTTATGATTTATCTCTTAGATTGAATTTATGGCTGATTTGTGTGGTTAATTTTTGGGAATTTTTTTTGGTTCAAATTTTGGTGGTGAAATAGTAGGCAATTGGGGGGCAGAGATGACGAAGAAGATTAGGGTTAGAGTTAGGGTTAGGGTTAGGGTTAGGGTCAGGGTTAGGGTTAGTGATAGAGCTTAGGGATAGTGGAGGCTGTAGTGTTGGTGCTGGGTTTTGGATGATGGAGGCTGTGGTGTTGATGATGGGTTTTGTGTGGTGGAGCTAGTGCCTTTTGGATGGTTTTGACGGTGGATTTTCGGATGATGGAGGTGGTGGTGTCATTCAAAGTCACCATATCCTCTATAAAATCTGAGAAAATTTAAAATTTTATTAAAAAGGGTAAAACAGTAATTAGCCATTATAATACAGGTTAAAAATCTTAAATTTTCTAGAACTCGAATGAAGAAACAAACCTTATTGTTAGATTCATCTTGTAAAATTTAGATATCCATATCGAATTACGAGATAATTGAATTTCTCACATTTTACGATGCGATCAAATTTTATTCACCAAACCTAGAAAATAATTTAAAGTTAGTTCAATAAAATATACTCAACTTAAAATGGGACGAGATTTAATTGATTCAAGATAAAAATATACCAATCGAAACTAGACATGTGGCACAACGAAGACCAAGTATTTGGAGAGTATAAGAGAGGAGAAAATCAGTTTTTCTTCCAATTCTACACTTGCATTTTCTAGAAAAAGAAGGAGGAATGAAAAAGAGAAAAACCAAGGTTCTCCCACAATTTCTCTCCGATCCACAACAATTCGACCGTCATATCTCTTCGGGCCAAGAACAAGGTTGTTTTACATGATAAGAACAACGTGTACGTATCAAATATCACGAGTTTTGCAACAATATTGAAGATGAGATATTGGAATCGAAGCTTGGAAGCTTGGTTTGAGATTTTTGGAGCTTCTCCTATGTAGATATATGCTATGAGAGGTAGGGTTCCTTTTTTGACTAGGTTTATTTCTTGTATACATGAGTTTAGGGTTTAGGGTTTAGGGTTTAGGGTTTTAGGGTTTAGGGTTTAGGGTTTAGGGTTTAGGAGGGTTTAGGGAGGGAGGGCAGTCTTTGGTTTCTAGTGAAAGAAACTCTTCCTTTTCTCTATAATATTCCTTTGATTCTTTTCTTTTTCTGGCAAATCTACCCACCATTAATGGATCCTGAACATATTCACAACCAAATTCCACCTAAGCCACCAGACATTTCACAGATTTCCACTTTAGCCCCCAGATATTTGGTACTTTCTTCAAACCTATCAAAGTTGGTGCACATCAACCAACCCAATTGAAAAGGGGCAAAAGCTCTTGTTCTTCTCCACAATGACGTTCAAAATCCTGGTATGCCCTCTGAGATCTTTGGTCTCTCTCTTAACCCAAATATAACAAAAAACTTTGCATCGCTTTTTAAGAAACCCTAGATTACTTCATTACCATCAAGCTTTTCACTACCTACGACCTCTTCACCTCTTTCGACTGCGCCAAGTTCTTCGGTTCCTTTGGACCCATCAAAATCGTCCGAGGGAGTACCACCTCCAGTCCCTTCAGTTGTTCAAATTAGGCCAGCAAAGCGCGTCGTGTACAACAATGGTGAATCGGGAATGTATTGGTCATTTGATGAAACTCAAGAACTCTCAAAGAGATTCCACCAGACTTTAATAGGAAAATGCGCATATGGCAAACCATCTATCGGTGTTATCAGGGAATTCATTATAACCATATGGCTCCCAAAGGGAAATTTCACAGTCGGCGTCTTGGACCCGAGACACGTTCTAATCAGTTTTGAGCTCTATGAAGACTAGGTGAAGACATGGCTAAAGGACGCTACATACATCGAGAGCTTCTTGTTCAGATTTTTCAAATGGTTTTCGGAGTTTTTTCCGGGTATTGAGGCTCCGGTGGTCCCAATTTGGATCTCTCTCCCAAGTTTGTCAATTCATCCTTTTGACCATGATAGTCTAAGGGATATCCTTAGCCCAATAGGTCAAATTCTTATGATTGACAATCCAACCATACAATTATGGAGGCCCAGGGTGGCAAGAGTCTGTGTTGAGGTCAATTTGTTGGCTGAAAATCCACATAGATTTTGGCTGGATTTTGGAGGATCTAGTGGACGGTGGCAGAGAATAGTGTATGAAAAAGGGGTAAAATATTGTAGTAATTGTTTAAAGCAAGGGCATGGTGATAGTGAATGTAGGAAAAGTAAATCCGAGAAGGAAGATAATAAGGGTGTCAATGTAGCTGGAGGTGATAAAGAAAACAAACAGTCTTCTGTTCCTAAATTGAGAGAATGGGGGGGGTAACGAAAAAGGAAAAGAGTGGCAAACTGTGAAAGGGAAAGGTAAGGCAAAGAATAAAGGGCAACAAAATATGGAGGGGAACAAAACTAGCAGGGGTGATGGCAATTTATTTAACACCCTTCGTGGGGAACATTTTGGCAAAGAGGATGATGGCATGAAAGAGAATTGTACTCCGCAGCAGCAAGAGGAGGTAGTAGAAATAGAGGAGACTTCGAAAGAAAATAATGGAGGGGGTAAGGAAAACATAAGGGAAGTTGAACAAGTAGTGATCAGTGAGGAAACAATAAATGCTTTAAGAGAAAGGGAGGCAGCCAATGATGTGTTGAAATCCGTTTTACCAGAAAATATAGAGAACAAGGGGCCAGATGAGGGGGAATATATTTAAGGCACTATTTTAGGCTATGAACAGGAGGTAAATAATGACACTCAGAAATCTGTTGGCAATGATCAGGATAACTCAGCGAAAAGAGATTTGGTATGTGATTTAAATAAACAAGTTTCATCTATTGGGGATTCCTTCTCTGTGGACCATAACTTCTCACTTGGAAGGGGTGTGATGAATGTTGTTGGTGATGATAAGGGATTAACTCAAAGAACAGAGCCCCCTGACAAAGGTTATTGTTCTGATAAGGGAAGCACTTTGAGTGTAAACAATTCCAAGCAGACTCTAGGGGAGTATGATAACGAGTCTGTTGAGCCAGATACGAACTCTCTTGAAGTTTACTCTCAGGAGGAGGAAAGTGGTAATAACATGGGTGAGATCAATCTTTCTTCTTCTCAATGATTAGTTTTCTAAATTGGAATATAAGGGGTGCTGGTAAAGTAGCTCAAAGGAGGAGGATCAAAAAACTCATCAGAATTTATGATGTTTGTGTGGTGTCAATTCAAGAACTCAAGGTAGAGGTAAATAAATTGCAGAATTTCGCTCATCCTCTGGGCTTCTCCAATTATGTTTTTAACCCATTAGCTGAAACAAAAATGTGGTTGTCGTGTGATGATAGACTAACTGTGCAGATTATGGTTCGACATGAGCAAGCTTTGACAGTTAGTGTTGCTTATATGGATTTTGATGTGGTTTTTCTTACGATTATTTATGCTTGTTGTGACCATATTTTGCGAAGAACACTGTGGCAACATTTGCTGTCTTTGTCATGTATTGGAGACTCTGTGTGGATGGTGGGAGGAGATTTAAGGCTATAATAAATTCTTCTGAAAGATTAGGTGGTGCATTTCCATCGAATGTTTCTATGGAGGAATTTGGGGACTTTATCCAAGATGCTGGTCTGCAGGATGTTGTTTTCTTAGGCAGTCAGTTTACATGGTGTAACAATCAACATGGGCGGGCAAGAATGTGGTAGAGAATTGATAGACTTCTCTTTAATCCTTCTTGGTGTTAGAGATTTGGTCATACTAAAGTGCTGCATCTGGGGAGAAGGGGCTCTAACCATTGTCCTATCTTTCTCAAAATTCAAAATTCAGTGAAACCAAGAATTTCTTACTTTAAATTCCAAGATATGTGGGTTGAAGACCAAAGTTTCCTGCCTTTGGTTGTAGAAAATTGGGGAGGATATTATACCGATAATCCGATTGATAACTTGTTCTTAAAGCTGAAATTTTTGAAATCCCATCTAAAGAAGTGAAATAAAGACGTGTTTGGAAATATTTTTGAAAGAATCAAAAGAAAGGAAGAGGCTCTAAAGCAGGCAGAAATTCTCTTGGAACAGGATAATTTTAATCAAAATATTCATGCCTGTGGCTGTGCTCATAAGGATTTGGACAAAGAGTTGAGACTAGAAGAAATTTTCTGGAAGCAAAAAGCTAATGTTAAATGGGCAATGGAAGGCGAAAAAACACTCATTTTTATCACATACTGGCAAAAGGAAAAGCAGCAAAGAACATGATTATTAAAATTCAAAATGGAGCAAGAGCATGGGTAAAGTCAAATGAGGAGATTGGGGAAATTGTTGTTGATTTTTATGCCAACCTTTATAAATTAGAACAACATGTGATACAGGACACCATTTTTCTTTTATTCTTCCTTTTGTAACCAATGAGATGAATGATCAGTTGGTAAGGGAGGCCACTGTGGAGGAGGTCAAATCTATTATTTTCTCAATGTTTGCTCAAAGTGCTCCTGGGGTGGATGAACTGTCAGGCAAATTTTTCCATGTTACATGGGATATTATCAAAGATGACTTGATGAAAGCAGTGAACTTTTTCTTAAAGGGAGGTAAAATGCCTAGATCTGCGAACTCTTTCCTTTTGATTGTTATTCCAAAGAAGGTAAATCCAACCTCTTTCTCAGACTTTAGTCCAATAAGTCTGTGTAATTTCCCATACAAAATCTTTACAAAGATTTTGACTGTTGGGTTGGCTCCTATGTTGCCGACTATTGTGTCAAGTGAACAACATGGTTTTGTGGAAGGAAGAACTGTGGGGGACTGCGTTGCATTGGCTCAATTACTAATGGAAGATTTAGATAGAAAGGTGGAGGCTGGAAACATGATCCTTAAACTTGATATGATGAAAGCTTACGACAGATTGGAATGGGATTTCTTATTTAAAGTATTGACATTTTTTGGGTTTTCTGATCTATTTGTGAACATTATCTCCAATTGCCTGAAATCATAGTTTGCATCTATTTGTGTGAATAGGCAGAGAGTTGGATACTTTCCTACTTTAAGAGGCTTGAGGTAGGGAGACCCAATTTCTCCTTGCCTTTTTATTCTGGCAGAAGAGGTCCTTAGTAGAGGACTAAAGAAGTTGTAAGTTAATGGATTGGTAAAAAATTATCACTTGGGCAAGGGGTCTGTTCTGGTCAGTCATCTATTATTTGCAGATGATACATTGGTTTTACTGTGAGGGTTTAAAAATTCTTTAAGGAATTTATTGAGCTTTTTGAAAATCTATGAGTCAAGCTCTGGACAAAGAGTGAATGCCCAAAAGAGTTCCATGTTTTGTTCAAAGCAAATTCCCGAAGGTAGAAAGCAAGGTTTATCTTCTTTGGCTGGGATTCCAATTAAAGCCTGCCCCTTTACTTATCTTGGATGTCCCATTATAAAAGGGAGATCTAGGATTAGATACTTTGAAGAGATCATTGTGAAATTTAGGAGCATATTGGATGGTTGGTACTCTAGAGTACTGTCTAATATGGGCAGGGTTTTAATGGTTCAATACATTCTGAGTTCCTTACCTATTCATCTTCTAGCTTGCCAGAATCTTCCAAAAGCTGTCCTACACAAGTTGAATGCTATTATGGCTGGTTTCATATGGTCAAACAAGAAGGATATTAAGAAGAGGCATTGGGTTTCCTGGGACAATATTACTCTGCCAAAAGAGGAGGGAGGCTTGGGACTGAGGAAGTTTGAGGAACTGCAAGGAGTATTTAGAATGAAACAAGTATGGAACCTGATGCAGGGATCCTCGCTATGGGCTCAAGGTTTCTCTAAAAATTTTTTGAAAGGAAGACATGTGCTTAGATGCATGGGGAAAAGTCATTTTAAATGCCTTGACGTTTTGCGACCTTTTTTTGATAAAGTGGTAATGCAAGGTGATAGACCTTTGCTAAAAAGAGTGGAATCCCTTCCCTAGGTCTTTCCAAAAATAGGGGACCTTGTTGTGAATTATATTTGGCAATTGGAACAAGTTGAACACTTACTTAGCGAGGAGTTAAAACTGGAAATCTTAAATTCTAGTATTCTTTTCTCTGACAATGCTGATAAAATGGTTTGGCAGAACTCTATGTCAGGGAAATTCACGGTTAAATCTACTTAACAATCTATTAGAAGGCGAGGGGAAAATAATGATGTGGCCACTACCATTTGGAAGCTGAATACAACTCCCAGTGCACAGTTGGTAGGATGGAAATTGCTGAAACAAGCCCTTCCATTTGACTCCAGAATGAAGCTGTGTGGGGTGCCTTTGGTTAGTTAATGTTCTATGTGTGGTATGGATGAGGAGTCTGTTGAACATATTTTTGTGAGATGTCCCAATGTGAAATCAATTTGGGGAAGGCTAGTTGCTATAGCTGGGTTCCAGCTTATTGAGAATGAGCTGCCTTTGGTGCGATTGATGAGGCTTTGTAAAATCTTTAAAAAGAACTCTCTTGGTTGTGGTTTGGTGAGAAGCTTGGCATTATTAATCTACTGGCAAATTTGGAAGGAGAGATGCAAGAGGAGGGCAGGTGAAGGGATGGTGAACTCTTATTCAATTTTTCTAAATATTTGTAGCCTTTTGAGATTGCATGCTAGGAGCATTAAGCCCAAGGTGGGAGATGGTATGAAAGGGAGGGACTTTATTCAGTCGCTAGGTGTGGTGAGGTCTTATGCTGTACAACTTAAAGCTGTCTGGGTGGGCTAGGAACGCCCAGTAAATGGGACTCTGAAATTGAATGTTGACGGGGTAGCGAAAGGAAACCCAGGTATGGCTGGTGGAGGTATGATTCTTAGAAATGATAGGGGCAATGTGGTTCTTGCTATTACCTTTTTCTATGGTGTATGTTCTAATATAGCAGGTGAATTTTGTGCTATGATAATGAGATATGGTTTGGCTTCTAACATGATCTGGATTGAATCCGACTCCTTGGTGGTGATCAAAATCACCAAAGGAGAAATGGAATGTGCCTAGCACCACTGGGGTATATTGGAGCAAATAAAGAAAAATCTTGATGGGTTATAGTTTCAGTTAAATCATGTTTATAGAGAAGCGAACTTTGCGGCTGACTCACTTGCTAACGGAGCTGTTCAAGATGGATTTTCCTCTGACTTTTCTGATTCTCCGCAGCTAGCTGCTGTGAGGACAAAAGTTAGGCAAGACCAAAGTTGCATCCCTTTTCTTAGGACCAAGTCTGTCATGGTTTTTGATGACTGTGGTTAACTTGGGATTGCATTTTACTCTCAGCAAGGGGTGCCTCTCTTGGTTCCAGCTTGGGGTTCTAGGCTACAACGTTTTTATTTATTACAATGATGGTTTTAGAGATACTTGTTCTTGGTTTTGAGCTGGAGGCCATTGTTTATGTAACTATTCACATAGTTGTTCACGTGAACAAAAGGGCTGTTGTTTCTTTGGTAATTTTGCTGCCCCTCAGCTGGTGTTCAACTGCCTTGTCACTTGTTCTCAGCAGCATTTCAGCTGCCATCTCTTTGGCTTTAAGCGGCTTTTTCTGTTGCTTGGAGCACTTGACTGTGCTTTCCTGCATGTTTTTCAGGCATCTTATGTCTCTTTAAGGCTACTGTTGGCGTTTCTTGTTTCTTGGTTTGCTGTTTTGATCAGGATGCACTGTTCACGTGTTTTGGCTACTGCTGTGGATGTTCTATTTCGGCTGTGCTTTGTCTGCTTTTTCAGTTGGTACTTAATTGGCTTTCAGCTGACTTCTTAGCTGACTTTTCAGCTACTTTCACCCGTTTACTACTCTACTGCGAAGGGTTTTCCTACTGATTTTTCTACTCCTTCAGCTGGATTATTAGCTGGTCCTCTTGCCCATTCGCGTATTTCAGCTGGTGTTCAGCTGGATTTCTAGCTGGATTTTAAAGGTTTTCAGGTGGGTATTCAACTGTTTTTCAGCTTCTGGGCCTCTTAGCCAGTACACTTCGATTGGGTTCTTAGTGGCCGTTTGCTTCTTGCTTTATGTTTCCTGCTTGGTGTTGGTTGCAATGGTTGCAACATTCAGCTGGTCCCTGTTGAGGAGACTGATGCTCATATTTTTGTTCTTTGTCCTTTTGCTCATTCTTTCTGCAGCAAACTTGCTGCTGCTATGGGCTTTAAGATTGTGCCTGGTGAATTCCCTATTTGTAGGTTCATGAGAATGTGTAGGTGTTTCAAAGGTTTCTCTCTTAGCCATGCTTTAATTAGAGGTGTATCTATGTTCACCTTTTGGGCATTATGGAAAGAAAGGTGCAGGAGGAGATTTGAGGGGTTGAACCTGAATAGTCATGCTGTCTTCCTCCAGGTGGTCAATGCATTGAAATGACAGGCTTTTATGATAAAGCCTAACAAAGATGAGGGCAAAAATGGCAAAGAAATGTTGCAGGATCTGAGGGTTAAATGGGAACCTTCCAATGCGAATATGATGAAATTAAATGTTGATGAGGCTTCCAAATGTAATGGTTTATCTGGTGGAGGGATGGTCTTAAGGGATTCTAAATGGCATATAGTGTTAGCAGCAGCTGCTTTCTATGGGATTGGGTCAAATATGAGAGCAGAATGTCTGGCATTGCTGGATGGTTTGAAAATGATAAGGCAGTATGATTTGGGCAATTACTAACGTATTGTAGAATCTGATTCCCAGGTATTGGTTAATATGGTGTTGGGCTTAGTTGATATTCCATGACGCTTACTAGTTTACATGGATCAAATTACTGCTATACTTGGAAATATGCAATTCCAGATTAGGCATGTGTATAGGGAAGCAAATAAAGTTGCAGACTTTCTGGCTTCCTATGCAGTGCAGTTTGGTACTTTCTCTGATTTTTCTGGTAATGGTGTGCTGCCTTCTGCTGGCAGAGTACTTCTGAAACAAGACCAAGGCATGATGCATTCTGCTAGATTGAAATAGGTGAGGATATGTGAGCATAGGTTAATGGATTTTGCTGTCAAGGTGGTTTTGTTGTTGGTGCTATGGGCAGCTTTGTTTGTCTAGACTGTGAATAGCGAATGTCTGGTGTCTGTTGTCAGGCTTTCCTTTTATGCCTGTGGTATTTGGTGCTAGCTTATGGATGCAATTGCTGCACTGAGTTCTTTGGTGGTCCACCTATTTTTTGTTGAAGGTTTTCCCAGGAGCTAATCTCACGGATTTAATCCTATTGAAGGATTAAAGCCAACTTCTGTTTGGGAATGTCTTCTGCATCTGGCATCTCTTTGGTTTTATGGAGCGGACTTGGGCTGCTGTGTTCAGCTTTGGACAGGTTTTTAGTGGGGCTTTGATGTTGGGTTTTTTTCTAGTTATGTATAGGTTTTTTGGATTTTTTGTTGCTGGCTCACAGTTTTGCTCAGCTTGTTTCATCTGGTTCTCTTGTTGTTTTGGGTTGACGTGTACTATTCACGCGACAACTCACGTGAACAGCTTGGCTGCTGCTACTGCTGCTGATGGCCTTTTCTATTGGTATTTTTGTCTTCTTAACTCCATTTCAGCTGGGTTTGCAGCTGTTTGCTGGTTAAGCTGGGGTTCAACAGTTTGGATCAACTGGTGTTTAGCTTCTCTTTCAGCTAGTCATAATGACTTTCTAGCCGAATTTTTAGCTAGATTCCAGTTGCCATTTCAAAGCCTTTCTCATGGCTTTCAGCTTTTTTTCAAAGGGGACTTTCTCGGGTTTCTCTACTGGTGTTTCAGCCTCTAGCAGCTGTCCTTTATGCTGTATCTCTTTGCTGTGGGTTTTGGTTTTGGTTCTTCTTTGATGGGTGTGATGTTCATGTTGATCTTGTTCCCTGCTTTATGGTTTTCTGCTAACGTTTTATGGTGTGCTGCCTTTATGCTGTCTTCCTCAGTTTATGTGGAGGCATATTTGGTTGGTTCACAAAAGTTTTCCAGCTGGCTTTTCAATTGGATTTTATGCATCTTTCCATGTCATTTGCGCCAGCTGTTTTTCCATGCTCTGCTCTATCCTGGGTTTTCACTATAGGAGGTTGTTTCTCCTTGATGGTGTGGATAGTGGGCAGACTTTTCCTATGAAGACTTTTTTTGTACATTTGTATGTTTTCAAGCCAACTAGGGCTATCTTTTTTGTTTTGGCTCTACCCACTTTGCTTCTTGTATTCTGGGCTTTTATCAATAATATCTTTGATCTTGTTAAAAAAAAAGAAAGGGTTTTAGGGTTTAGGGTTTAGGGTTTAGGGGGTTTAGGGTTTAGGGTTTAGGGTTTAGGGTTTAGGGTTTAGGGGTTAGGGTTTAGGGTTTAGGGTTT